CATAACTGAGCGGAACTGCTTTTGATACATTGATATTTCATGCTTAAAACATTTTGTTTTGCTTTCAAACCATCAATGTATATACTGGACAATTCATGTCCATAGGCTCGTATTATAAGTTTGTAATCTGAAATTGAAGGTGGCCACCACTGCCATTTTGATTCGGTCACATGTCTCATCATGCCCAGACGATTCCATAAAAGGGAAAAGAGGTGGAGCTGTGAATGGGGCTGTAAGGCTGGCATCAAATGACGACACCTGTCAAACTGAAGTGATGTAGCTACAAGCTAACCCAAAGCTAACACGGAGGTGGGAGCTAAGCTAACGAAGGTAGCACTAGTTCTCATGAGAACACAGCACCCAGTCGCAGCTCTTTGTGGACAAATCTGTTATTTAGTTGCCCCCCACCACCACTATTTTACAATTATGCAAAAAAAATAGAAAAACAAGCGAGTTTATCTGATGGCATACAGACTTCTGGAGACTAACATCAAGCACTATCAACCCTCACCGAGCTGCAGTATATCTGTGATCAGGTGTCTCTCCGAGTCCGAGAGCTCCACAAGCCGGCAGCCCACGCAGCAGAAAGACGCCGCTGCAGTCAGAGATGCGCCGAGCTGCCGCTGAGGGGAGGGAGACCATACCGATAGTCAGAACTAAGCTCCACCAACATGTCGTATTTCAACCCATTTTCCTAAAATGCATAAATATAATTTTACTTACCAAAAAATATAAAGTGGAGACTCCTTGGATGCTCTATTAATGCAAATAATACCACAGCAAGTCATTTTGTCCAACAATTGCACAAATAACATCCAAAAAAAGAATGCACAAATGGCACAACTAATGGTCTAAGTTGAGAGACTGAAAATGGTGGAACAGTTTAAGGCGAGGCCGAGGCTCAGGCTGAGGCCTTTCCCCGGAGCTAGCTCTGCAGTCACGTGGGTCTGATGCTCATTCATTATTCAGAATTTTAGGCATTTAATACACTTAGAAGAGTGACAACAAAATTCACCCCCCTCGGAGTTGTCATGACTGTAAACAAGATCTATTAAACCTAAACCATGTTTTGGTACCAGGCTGTAAACATGTTTATTTTTGCTGTGAAATTGGTATTTTTAACATAGGAGTCAATGAGGATTTGCTCGCTTCTGATCCAAGCGGATGAGGCTGGAACTGCAATTTTTGTCACTTCCTGTTTTGCTATATCCAGGCCCGAATTATGGGGGCTTGGTTCAAACCTACAAAAAATTTGGGATTTCCTTTATGAGTTCACACCATCTGTGAACACATGGAGCTGTTTTGGAAAAAGAAAACATAGTTGAGATCCATTCATGTTTGCATCAACGAGACAGAAGGGCCAATCTCAAAAGTTGAATGTGGAGGAAAAAACATAACACAACCCCGTCCTAGAGGCTGGAAGCAATAAAATCGTTAAGTCCTGCCTCCTCCTTAGAAATGAATAGGACATTGTTCTGTCAACAAGATAGAAAAAACCCTTACAGCATATATTTTTTTCCAACTTCTGAATTCATTGCTGCTATAATTCTGACTTCTGTTTGTTTGTATAAAGTTAGTTTATCGTGTCATGTGTCTTTACTGATGTTTGTGAGAGCCCACTGATGGGCAAATGAAAGGAGGCAGAAATAAGGAGGTAACCAAGAGCTAAGATAAAGCCTGACGTTGTAAATGTTAAAAAGGCAGAAGAAAAAAGGAAGACACATGTAAAAGATAAACAATTAAAAACTGTAAGAAGATGAGTAGATATGGGAAAAGACAGAGGAAGAAAAAGTGATGTTACTTAAATTGATAAGAAAAATGGGGTAACATCTGTAGATTATCCATCCATCCATCCATCCATCCATCCATCCATCCATCCATCCATCCATCGTCTGAACCCGCTTTGTCCACGTAGGGTCGCGGGGGGGGCTGGTGCCTATCTCCAGCAGTCAACGGGCCATCAGGCGGGGTACACCCTGGACAGAGGGCCAGTCCATTGCAGGGCAACACAGACACACACAGAACAAACAATCATGCACACACACACACACACACACACACACACACACACACACACACACACACACACACACACACACACACACACACACACACACACACTCACACTTAAGGACAATTTGGACAGACCAATCAACCAGACAATTCCATAAAAGGGAAAAGAGGTGGAGCTGTGAGCTGTGAGTCATGTTTTTGGACTGTGGGAGGAAGCCGGAGTACCCGGAGAGAACCCACGCATGCACAGGGAGAACATGCAAACTCCATGCAGAAAGATCCCAGGCTGGGAAGCGAACCCAGGACCTTCTTGCTGCATGGCAACAGCTTTAACCGTTGCGCCACCGTGCAGCCCTCTGTAGAACATATCACTTAAAATATTTTATGTAAAATGTTCTAAAAAAAATACTTCTGTCTGACAAATTAAGCTTTCAGCTGGGTAACATCTTAATGGCAACCAAAGGTGATCCTGAGAATTTCAATAATGGAATATCAAACAAATCTCCTCTTCCTAAGATAAACTTCCAAATGTTTTAGCATTTTTCTCAAGCTTTCCGTTCCTTGTTTGTCACATAAAGCCTCGGGGCGACAGCATCATCATCAAAGACGCAAAAAGCTTTTTATGTAAATAAAGTCCCGAAAACCCATTCAATGAGAGTTGACACGGACAGAGATCAAAAGAAATTGTTATTTCTTGCCACTAATGTGCATACAAGCCCATCACATCATTAAAAAAGGGGAGAGAGGCAAGCATGCAGGTAAATGTGACGGACAGAGTCAACAGAAAAGTGTAACAATGACACGCATGAAAGGAAAAGATAGGAAGACTGAGTTTGCTCTGCTGATGGGAATGAATGACAACGTGGAGGACAAACAGAACAAACAGTGTCAGGTTAATGTTAATGGGGGCAAGGATTGTGTCCTATTAAATATAGATGGCTCTGTTATGAGACATGAAATATACATGAAACACCTGGTTGACATCTCTATCAGCTGTGTTAAGAGGCATGTCAGAGGAGACGGAGAGAAGGAAGGGAACTCAAGTGAAAAACAAGGAAATGAGAGGTGAAAGGAGGACGGGGACGATGCACAGAGATAAAGGAGACATCAGAGTTAGACGAGAACTCTGACAGTATCTGATCCCAAGCTGGTGTGTTTTCCTCTTTTATGTTCATCCACAAGTTTTTTTTTTTTCTCAGAGATGTGGATCAATATTTTATTGTTGGTTCTTGTTGATCTGCTGTTTGAGTGATAATCTGAGGTCTCTGCTGCTTGTGGTTTTGACAAGTCCCGTGAGACTTACCAACGGAGCGGGCCTACTAACCCCCGCGTCCCGACTAAAACTCCCATTAGGCTCACATAAATCCCTTAACCTCAGAGGTCACACAATCCACATCTTTCCTGACAAGCCATTGTTGGCATCAGTGGCAAGACAGGAACACGGCTACCTAAAGAGGCACACAAACGTAGAAATAGTTTGAGTTTTTCCTTCGTTTTTGCCTGGAATGAAATCTAAACTTTTTTTACTCAGCAGAAAGTCCAGAAAAAGCTCATAACTATTTATGGATTCTGGAAAATGGTTTTAAAAAAAATCTTATTTTTCACACTCTCCATCCCTGCTGCAACAAATCACTGGCTAAGTAATGTGCATATCTGGACAGTGAAGCTGAAAATGATTGAATACTGCTATAATCCAAATATTTTTCCCTTTCCTCCATATTTTAGAACAGCTGAAAAGGTTGCCAGATAAGAAAGTCTTATTTGCCTCTGTCAGTTTCTGGTTGCTAGGGCAACAGGAAGACAGGATACAGAAGTATGACTTTTAGAAAAGCCTTCTGTTTAACTGTTCATCAACCATAAGCTGGTTTGTTTAAAAGGTATAAGTTACTTTTTGTGTTTAAGTTTTGTTTGAGTTTAAGCAGGGTATACTGGCAAAAATCTGGCAATACGATATTTATTACAATACAGGGGAGATGCGGTATATTGCAATAAAAACCACACAATATTTGTGATTTCTGAGACTGAATGTAATTACAAAACGCGGGTCAGGCACATGATCCAGTATTACTGTAGTGATCCGTCAAAATAAAGGCCGTAAAAACTTCTGCCACCTAGTAGTCAGAGTTGGAATTGCACCATACAAAAGAGATTCAGTAAACTTTGACATGTGAACTCTGAAAAAACAACAACTAATATATTGCTTTAACACTAATACTTTAATTACTTTATCAAGTAAAATATACAGCCTTGCTAGTCCCTGACATTTTATAAATTGGTGTAAATTTAATAAAAATGCATTTATTTATTTATTTATTGTGTAAAAGACAAATGAAATATGGTCATTTCTACCTATTTTGGTCAGACGTAGTCATTTTGACTGCCAGAGAATTTCTGGTTTTCCAGGGCAAGATGAAAATAAAATTCCAAGACTGAAAAATGTTACAGTCAAAGAGAATCTCCAGCATTTGATCACCCTTCACCTTCCTCTTAATTTTCTTATTTTTGTTTTTAATGACTAAAATATAAAGGAAGACAGAAAATGACACAGTGGCATGAAATAAATATGAAACGGTGGAGAAGGACAGAAAACATGGGCACTTATGATTCTGAAACTGTCTATTTAAATGTTATTTTTGGATTAAAATACGTTAATAAACTAATTAAATTGCCTATTATCTAAAATTATAAATGTATACAGTGAATTTATTTACCTTTATAGATGCAGCAGACAAAACGACAACTCAAGGCCTTTCTAGACAGTAAACAAAGCTTTAGTGTAAAATATCAAGTCAGTATTATAACATGAGATAAAAAGATATTTCAGCATATCAATATTTTCTTACATCCCTGTGTCTAGATGGCAGGCAATGAAGTGGGAGATGGGCTGTGCTTTGCTCTGTTGGTGTAGAGGAGGAGCTGGTTGTGTCTTTGAGAAGACCTAAAATAGGTAAATGGTCTCATAACTGTTGCTTCTTCTGTGGTTTCAGTTGCAAGGAACCAGTATGAGCGGATGGGCAGTGACGTCACCATGCAGTGCGGCTCCCTGGAAAGTGGCACGTCGGTGTCGTGGAAGGTGAATGGGACAGACGTGCAGGCCAAGCACCAATTAGAAGGTCCAGTGCTGATTCTGAACCAGGTGGACCTCAGCCATAATGGACTCTACAGCTGCTTTCAGAACCCACACGGAGAGAGGCGTGATACCATTTATCTTCACGTAGGAGGTAAGTAGCTGACATTAACCAGCTTATTTCCCAAATAAGCTAAAAAATATTGATGATTTCTGACATTTGAAGGGTGTTTTGTTTTATTTTGAAATGACATAATTAACTTAGAGTGACATGATGGTGGTCCTTGGAGCAGAACTCGCTACCAGATGACAAACTTCTAATGATTGGTTATTAAAATGACATTCAGTCATTTTGCTGTTATGTGTGGAGATTTTAATAATCACATAAAAGCCTTCTGAGTGTCGATTTAACAGCGTCTTCTTGTGGCCTGTGAGATGGCAGTGGCCTCCTCTGAGATCCATTATTCTGATGGGGAGGGATTTAAACACTGGGTCTGAGCATAATGATGGTGTCGAGATGGGATGGACTGACAAGGAGAGCCGAGGAAGTGGAGGGATTGAAAACAGCCACAACACACACACACACACACACACACACACACACACACACACACACACACACACACACACACACACACACACAAAGTTGTTTTTATTGCAGAAAATTATTGGCCAGGATTGACTCAAATGGAAGCCTTTCAGTTTCAATCTGGTAGAGGGAATGGATAATGCAACCACTATCAGGTTGTTAATCATACTACTGCATAATAGTTTCACAGTGAGAAAAATTAAACTTTTTTTTTGCATAGCCTTAAAAACAACTAATTATTTCCCCCATTTATGCACCTGCATTATTTAATGGACTTTATAATAGTGTTAGAAAAAGTCTGTTCTAACAAAAAAGCAGCGGTTTGGTTGCTCTGTGTGTCGAGCAGCAATATCACCACTGGTAATGCCTTTACTGGCCCAATAAGAGATTACATTCACATCCAGTGTGATTTCAAAAATACGTAAATAAAGAGGGGAAAATTAAACTAAAATGACAAAAATGTTGAATTATTTAGTGTGTTCAGCTTATCTTGTCTGCAGATTATTTGCAAACCGTGCACGTAGGATTCACTTATTAACGGAATCGAAAGCAGCCCAAGCTCACCACCCATCAAGATTGCACTGCAGCGCTACTGTTAAATGTTACATTTCCATGCAAATGTTTGATGAATGAGACTATATGGGAGTGTGACAGTTTGGTTAATCATATTGGCAATGATGAATTACCGAATGCTGAAACAATACCAAATTAATGAGAGTTTTATGTTATGGTAGATTGTGTCAGCAGGGTGAATGATGCAATACATAACCAGGTCCGATTATGTGTGTGTGTGTGTGTGTGTGTGTGTGTGTGTGTGTGTGTGTGTGTGTGTGTGTGTGTGTGTGTGTGTGTGTGTGTGTGTGTGTGTGTTTCCTTTCAGGAATGGTAGCATTTCTGCATCATAATGACACTTTGGTGGTCTCTCAAACAGTGCATGTGAGAGAGAAACAGACTTTCATTGTGTAGCCATTCATCAGGGGTCAATTACAACTTTGTGAGAACAATACCTTTGCGGGCTAGCCTGGCATTGAGCATAATTGCCTTGTTAACAGTTGGTGATTTTGTGACACGTTCAAGACATGCTGGAATTCTCAACTCTGAATCCGCTTTTCAAACCAGAGACACTGCATTTGTTTCTTTTTTATCCGTCCTGCTCGTTTATCTCTGTACACCTTGTACATGTTTCATTATATTGGCTGTCACCTACTGAGCTTGGAAGTGTTGTGCAGTCATGACAGGCTACACTTGTCGTGATTACCATATTGACGATAGTTTGATTTTTATGCGGTGTTTATAACTCACACCCGGGGCCTGTTATGTTTTACACAAGCAGAAGTGTGATCAGGAGAATAGCACTGAGCCATCTGTCTGTGCCTTCTTGCCTCGGTTGCATCCCCACTTTCCGGTGCTTCTCCGACTTGCAGTTTGCAGTTACAGTTGTTTAGTGTTGTTTACTCTGGTTCACATTAGGACAGAAGGCGTCATGCCATGACCCCGGTTAGGTCTCTGTGTGTGTATATGGTTTGGTGCTAAATGTTTGAAGTGTGTCAACAAGGCAGACAGCATTTGTGTGTCTGCAGGAGTTGCTGTGATGCCTGTTTCTCTTTGTGTTTGTGGTGTTTCTCTTCTCTGTATATAACTATGGGATGCTTACATTACCTCTGACACTGTGGGTACAAACAAAGCTGGGATTGTCTGAAGAAATGTGCACAGATGAGCACAAATGTCACATTGTGCAGTGGCAAGATTGAGGGTCGATAGGATGGAGTTGTTTCCTAAATAGTTTGGTTATTTGGAAAATAATCCCCCTGCAGGATGTTGCGTCTAGTTGAACAATGACCTTTAACAAAAGACAACTCTCTGAAAATGTACTGATTTTTTATGAAGCCACCCCAACATTAGAAAATGAAAATGTTGTTTTTCCTAATATTTCCTTTTAAGTTTGGACACCAATGTATTTCGGTCCCTTTTCTAACTAGAAACTACAAAAATCACAAAATTCTGGAACATCCAGGTGAGGATGTCTGAAGATCAAAGATCCAAAACACCAGAAGACCCCGAGTTCCTTACAGCAGATGTGTCTAAGCCAACCAACTATCCAGATTGTGTCTTTTAACTTAAACCACATGCAAAATTATCAAAAAACAAAGTTCAAATTACATGATCTGCAACCATCCATGCATCATTTCACCCTCTCAGGCTCTAAATAAGTTCTGATAAAAGGACGAACAACTATGTCCTTCAGGGGTACTTCTGAGTTAAAAAATGCTCATGAAATGTGTATGTGGAGTAACCAGGTAGGTAGGTTTTGACTGTTGCAAATCTGCAACGCCTGCCTCCAGAGGGTCAACAATACTCACACACTCAAAGGCTCTAAATGAACGTTCAGTCAACTTTGAGCTAAAACTATGGCTGCAGGTTTTACCACAGAACCCTTTTTATCCCAGCAAGAAGCTTTTGGTTTGGAAAACGAGGAAGAAGCTCTTGTAGAAGGGCGTGGTAAAGGGGTAGGAATGCAACCCAGTGCATGATGTAATATCTTTAAATGAAGGAAGCCTTCAATGTGTGTGTTAAAAAATGTTAAAAATGCTAAACTGCACTGTCTACATCGCCATGTGCCACCCACTGGAGGATAGCATCACAAAATGTTACCATTATGACTCCTATAGATGCAGGATACACTGGTTTCATGTTGAGGACATTGCCTCAATGATTCATGTTTGAAGAAACAGTGAATTAGAGGGAAAAAAGTGTTGATTTTTAGTTGTAAATGGAGACACTGAAGACAGCAGAAGGGTAAAATACTGTACTCAAATTCAACAGGACAAGCTCTTCATCTGTGGCGTGCTCTGTGATATCTCTAGACACTATTCAATAAATAAGTGATGTTCACTTGTAGAGAAAGACTTAAGAGAGCAAAAAAAGAGCATAGCTGTAGTGAAAGAATAAATTTAATTTCAAAGGTGAGAGGACATGCACCTTTTAAGCTTTTAGCTGAAATGCAACATCCTTTACTTTGCTCTCCTGCCCCTTTCTGCCATTTTCTATCTATTGCTGTCGCAAACTCCTGTCGCCTAAACAATTTATAGCAGAGCAGCATGGGCTGCACCCGCCCAGTTATTTAGCCTCACAGCAGACAAAACATCAATGTAGGGGGTCATATATCGAGCCATTTACTCTGTGACCTGTCAGACAATCAGCTGCAAGTCACACACGCACGCACACGCACAGACACACACACACACACATGCACAGGCCACCGGTCAAACTGGAACTTGTTGCACCAGCTACGACAGTTTAACTGTAAGCATGTTTTTTACACCCAGTTACAAAGACAAAGATCTGCTATTCTGAGACAGTCTGCTATTTTTGCTTTAATTAAAATGATACTTTATAAATATGTGCAAAAATTTTAATTGACCTAATAAAAATTCTGAATGCCATATCAGAGAAAATATATCTAAAAATAGATTGATGCAGTTTTTATTTTAAAAATAAAAACCAGTTTACTGGAAAATACTTAAATAGTCAAATAGGTTGTCATTTTATTTTTAAAAATCTAGTTTTTTATGTTTTTTAGAGACCTGACAAGTTCAAGCACTGCTAGAATAAATGAAATTATGTCATACAGACTTTTCAAAATCAGTGTTTTATTTGTCTGATGAAAGCTTTAACACCAATCAGATGCTGAGAAGGTCAGCAACGCCATCTATTCATTTCAAAACAGATGTTTCTTTGCAGGATTCTATGAATATTCTCAATGTTTCATATTTTATTTATTTTAAATTATAGTTATTTGTTGTGTTGATAGCTCTTTACGAAATACATGGTCTGTTCAAACAAAACCAACCTGAAAACTAAACGTTAGGCACAACACACACTCTCATTTTAAGGTTTGGCCTGTCAGATCTGTGTAGAGCCAGAAGGTGAACAACAAAGTCTCTATTAGACTGCCACCATAAAATGCACACACACACACACACATATATATATATATATATATATATATATATATATATATATATATATATACACACACATACACACACACACACACACACACACACACACACACACACACACACACACACATACACATACATACATAGTTAGACAATGTCCGGCTTCGATTTAAGGGTTTGATGGCAGGTAAAATGAGCCAGTTCTATTGTTGTATCATGCTCTAGTTTGCTTGTCTCTGCGTCACAACCCATCAGAAGCAAACAAACAGACCCTCAGTGAGGAGTAAACAGCATTTGGGGACACTGCAATGGTACATGTTCATACTACAGAGGTTTCTGCCGGTCTGTACTATAACTCACACTCATATCTAATAACATGCATTTAATATTTAAATCCTTTGTGCACATCACAATCTGTTTAATTAACAGATACTCCAAATGGCTGTCAAAGCTAAACTACACACTGACTGGCTCTGGTGGAGGAGTTGAAGGAGGTGTGAATTATCTGGTTAAATTGATGTGTGGGGAACTGATTTCCACACAGACACACCACTTGATGTCTTTTTCCTTTTCCCTGGACAGCTTGTTTTGGTTGTGTCATCC